AAGACCCCACCGTTCATCTAGTTCAAGCCACTCATTTTTCAGATAGGGAAGCTGAACTTAAATGATGTGCTCAGTATCCCAGGTTCCTTGAATCCTGGTCTGAAACTTTTTCTATCACACCGTGCTGAAAAGGTGTTTTTTTTCCTCCAAATCACAAAACTTCTTAGTGACATATTTACTTGTCTCCATGTACTCTGTGGTCCAGTGACATTGGCCTACTTTCTTGCACACAGCACTCTGTGTCCCAGCTTTGGGCACCTTCACTGACTGTCCCCCCATGACTTGAATGTTTTCCCTCCTTATCTCTGCCTCCTGGATTTCCAGGCTTCCTTCAAGTTCCAGCTAAAGTCCTTTGTTCTGAAAGAAGCCTTTCTCAATCTTAGTGCCTTCCCTGTGAGACTACTTTCTGTCTTTCTCTCTCTCTCTCTCTCTCTCTCTCTCTCTCTCTCTCTTTATATACATATATAATATATACGTATGTATGTATATATGTATATGTATATATACACACACATATGCACGTGTATATATATCTATACATATATACACATATATGCATATTTATATGCATGTATATACACAAGTATATACATATGTAACACATATATTTTGTGTGTATATCTTGTATATAATTACACGCACATTATATTTTTACATAGTGGTTTGTAAACTGTCCCTCCAGTTAGATTATGAGTTCTTTGAAAGCAGGGACTATATTTTTGGCTTTTCTTTGTATCCCTAGAACTCATCACAGTGCCTGGTACATAGTAGACACTTAACAAATGTTAGTTGACCTGACTCAAATAGACTTGGTATAGTTGAGATGACAATTCAGGTTTCCTGAGTCTTTATTGCTCAAGACAGTAAATCTGTAACCCATTTGTGTGTGAGGGGGTATGTTTGGAGTTGGGAACTCAGCTAGTGATAAACTCACTTTTTTTTCCCAAAGAGACCCCTAGGAAGGCTCAGTCACAAGCAGTAGACAAACACTTTCCTCTTTTTCCACTCCCAAGGTGGCTATCCAACAAAGTTTTCCCTCTCTCCCTTCAGAAGGACAGCAGTAGTAGCCTCAACGTCAAATAAATAGGTGGTACAATGGATAGAGTGAAGGGTTGGGAGTCAGGAATGCCTGAGTCAAATCTTGCCTCCAAGATTTGCTTGACCACTTGCTATGTGGTCAAGTCACTTTGAAGTTGTATTCAATGGCCTCTAACGTTCTCCCCAGCTCTAAATCTATGACCTTATGGAAATAGAGGACAAGGAGAAAAAGAAATGAATGAAATCTATGATCTTCATTTGAGCTTTTAGCTCTAATTTTCCTCTTCACTCAACCTTTAGTCAAATTGTTATTGTGATTCAGTGTCTTTTTATTATAAATAGCTTGACTTTTTAGCATGACCAGGCTGAGTCCTTTGTCTCAGCCAGACATTTTGAAAATGTCTTTCATTGGGCACAATGGGAAATGGCCAAGGGAGTGTGGATAGATCAACCAAATCTACCATTACAGCCAGATGGACCAGTTGCATTATCTTATGCTACATTCTGGCTATGGCATCATTGGGGGGAGGGAGGGAAGGAAGCCTGTTTGATTCCTTATCTTATCTTCTTATTCCCATTTCTGGTGGAAAACCAATAAAAAAACACTGAAAGTCAAGGACAAGAAAGAAAAGGGGGGAAAAGGTTAAAATGAAATCAAGAAACAATAAGGGCTGACAATAGAGCCATTAGTGTTAGGTTGAAAGAATCTTTCCAAAAGAACTTGGTAGAGTTGAGCTAGGGCAAACCTCCATGATGGATCCCTCACTCCAACAAAGCTTCCCAGGGGAAGGATAGCTAGTTGGAACATTAAAGAAAATCCTTCAGCTGATAGTGTGTGGGTAAAAGAGCAAAGATCAGGAATCTATGAAAAACCCATGGTCTCAAGAACAGGCCCTGGAGACTTGTATTAAGACTACATAAATCTTTCAAAAGGTCTTTTTCATTTGATTTTGAAAGGGGTCTGCTTTAATCAATTACTCTGTTTGGGAGTTCTATAAAATTCAAATCTGGGTCTGGATTTAATATATGACAAAGTCGGAAAACATATCCCTTCCCTTGACATTCTCAACAAGTTTGATTCTCTCGCTCTCTTTTAAATCCCCATATTTAGAGGGAAAGTCCTTTGAAACTCATTTTGGTTGCAAAGTTATTAGCTCAAAAGTGCATATATCATCTCCTTGATAGAGCACTGTTCCATGCTATGCAATGTTTCATAACATTAAGGTTCGTTATTTAAAGAGCATGTATATTTTGCTTCTTAGCAGGCTGTATGACATTTTTCATATACTAGCAGACAGTTTAATTTCCTGTCTAACCTGAGTGATGGGCTGGGGCCTGAGAGACTTTATGGTACTTAGCAGAACAGCAGAATATTATAGCATTTGCCATTTTTCAGTTGTGACGTGGACCTGCCCAAATAAGCCAGCTTGCCGCTCCTTTGCCTACTCCTCTTAAAGCATTTTGTACAGTTTGTATTTGTGCTAAAAGCTGCTATTATTCAAAATGTTCTGACATCACCTCCCCAAGCATGCCTGCCTTCATGCCTACTAGACAGGTGAACTGAGCAGACTTTTTTTTTCTGTGGTTTCCTGTGTGTGATTAGTGTCCAAAATAGGGGTTCTTAACCTTCAATCCCTGGACCACTAAGGGCTCCAAGAATAGATTTCAGGGTGGGGTCTGTGAATTTGGATGGGAAAAAAAATTTACCTTTGTTTTCATTAACCTCTAACTGAAATTTAGCATTTCTTTCAATTATTTAGCAACATTTAAAATATATATTTTGGAATATATATATATAAAATGCTTCATAAATTTACATGTCCTTGCACAGGGGCCATGTTAATCTTCTCTGTGTTGTTCCAATTCTGGTACATGTGACGGTGAACTAATCACTATCTTAAAAACATTTTTCTGAGAAGGGGTCCATAGACTTCCCCTGCCAAAATGGTCTATGGCACAAAAAAAGGTGAAGAAACCTGGGTCCAAAGTAACTAGCTGAAAGTTGCTATATCTCCTTCACTAGCCCCCATGAAGATTTCTATGCTGCTTTTAAAATGATGTTTTCAAGATGATTAGGAAAGGGGAAGAGGACTATATTTCTATCTTTTCACTAAGATGTTTAAATATCTGGTATTAAAAGAAATGTCCCCATTCCAGAATCTTGTTTGTTTGGGAAGTGTTTGTTGCAAGAGACATCAATCAATTAATAAACATGTATTAAGTGCCTGCTATGTGCCAGGCACTGTGCTAAGCACTGGAAGATGGCTGACCTGAATAGAACCAAGACTATCTTTCCTAAATTGGGCTAGAGGGAAAAAGGAAGGAAGGAAGGCAGCAAGGAAAGAAGGAAGAAAGAAAGGGAGGGACAGAGGGAGGGAGTAGGGAAAAAAGAGGAGGGAGGGAGGAAAGAAGGGAACAGAGGGAGAGAGGGAGGAAATAAGCATTTATTAAGCACTTTCTGCATGTCAAGCACTGTGCTAAGCACTGTACAAATATTTCATTTTATCCTCATAACAATCCTAGGAGGTATGATGCTCATTTTACAGTTGAGAAAACTGAGGCAAACAAAGGTTAAGTGACTTGCCAATAAGAGGCCAAATTTGAACTCACATCTTCCTGATTCCAAGCTCAGTGTTCTATCCACTGTGCCACCTAACTGCCCCAACATAGATAGATATAGATGTGGAGGTAGAGTTGTTTTCTGTATTTATATAGAGATAGGTATATAATATATTGAGAGAGAAAAAAAAAAGAAAGACATTATACTATGAGCATTGATTGAAGAAAAATAATTGCCTGGAGAGGAAGAGATTCAGGAAGGGACATGCTAGCTGTCTTCAATTATCTGAAGGCCCATCATGTGGAAAAGGGGTCATACTTGATCTGTTTGGCCCCCGAGGGCCCTCATTCCCACCCCAGGAGCAATGGGTGGAAGTTACAAAGAAATCACCTTGGGCTTGATGTCAAATAAAATGTTCCAACAATTAGAACTGTATAAAAGTAAAATGGGTTTCATTGAGAGGTGGTGGGTTTCCTCTCATTGGAACTTTTCAAGCAGAAATCCCTTATTTGTTGGGTATGTTACAGTGGAGATTCCTGTCCTGCACAGGTTGGACCAGGTGGCTGCTCCAGAGCCTTCCAAATCTCAAATTCTGTGATAACGTGATTTATCAGTGAGTGTAGTGGTTTTACCCTTGATTTATAACCTGCTTTTCCATGGCCCAGTCACACTGACTGAATTAATGTCATAATGTAGGAAGATAAAAGGGGAAAGAGGAAGAAAGAAATTTACAGAGACGCAAGTATTTTTATTGATCATAACAACCAAAGAACAAGCCGAAAAAAAACCAAACCATCATTGCTTGTCCGGTCCTTGCCTCTACTTGGTAGATCTGACTTGTTAATTTTTCCAAAGAATAACATTCCCAGTGTTCCATCTTACTACAGTATCAGTTTCCATTCCCCTCCTTACCACAACCCACTTCACCCCCATTACAGGGGTGTTTCATAAATCATTTTTCTGTAGAACTGCAAAATACATTTTAGCTCTAAGCAACTAAAAGAATTAGTCACTTGTCACTACATGGGAACCAGGCCAAAGCCTCCTGTTAGCTCCCTAGTATAACAATTGTTTACAGATTTTACAGTGCTCTATCCCCATTCACAGGAAAAGTCCCTTTTTGGAGTTTGTGAAAGCCCCCCCAAAGGCTGAGATTTGGTTTTAGGGGGAGGTTAATTGTTCGTTTTTGTGTGTTCATTTGTTTGTTTGATTGTTTGCTTAGTTTGAAAAAAAAAGCATCCAGAGTTGTGAAATCTCCTCAGTAGCAAATGATACTTCAAAAGCCTGAGGTTCCCCTGCCCTCACCACTGCATTGCAGTATCTCCTTTCCTAATCACTCAAGGGTGGGATGATTCCCAAGGGAACTTCAGAGGATCTTATGCCAACTTTGTTCCCCTCACAGGTGTGGGAGCCACCTCTGGAGTTTCCGCCAGTCTCCCAGGTACCTCTGGCACCAGCACCAGCTCTCCTTTCCAGCATGCACATAAAGGTAAGGAAAGTGCTCAGGTATTGATATTCTGGATTTAACATCCTCAGAAATCTAGGGTAGGTTGGATGAAAGTTAAGAGGAAGAGAGGAAATAATTATTAGTAATGCTCCTGAAGAGTTTTCCCCACCTCAAATCACTTTTCTAACATGAGTTAATCCGCTAAGCTGGGCTGGGTTGCTGGAAGTTAATAATTATCCCAGCATTGCACAGGATTGATCACTCTGTGTGTGTCCTGTGGCCATTAGCCTGTGTTCTAAAGAAGTGCACTTTTTTTTAGGGTCTTAACAGTTTCCTAAAGATATTGATTAACAGGAAACCCTCCCCCTCCCCATCTTCCTCTTCATCTTTGAAATGTGTGGTTGTAGCACAAAAATGATATGACTACTAGAAGGGTCTTGAGTTAACAAGCAAAGATCTAAGGAATAACAGCTGCTATCTTCATAGGGCTTTCAGGTTTGCAAAGTGCCTGCTTACCTACTTTATCTTATGGTAAATACTTTAAATATTATGCTCCCTATTCTACAGATGAGGAGACTGAGGTCTAGAAACATTGAGTAACTTGCCTGTGATCACACAGCTAGTGCCCAAGGTGAAATATGAACCCAGGTCTTCATGACTACTAGTTCAGCACTGCTTTTCCATGGCCCCCAGTCACATTGACTGAATTAATGTCATAATGTAGGAAGATAAAAGGGAAAAGAGGAAGAAAGAAATTTACAGAGACACAGGTATTTTTACTGATCATAACAACCAAAGAACAAGCCAAAAAAAACCAAACCATCATTGCTTGTCCAGTCCTTTCCTCTACTTGGTAGATCTGACTTGTTAATTTTTCCAAAGAATAACATTCCCAGTGTCCTTCTAATTCAGTATGGAAGGGCAGAAGAAAATTTCTATGTAGCTGACTGTTTCTGCCACTATCTTAACTCTATAGCATGCTTTCATGAGAATTGCTTCACCTTAGCCCTTGAATATTCAATCAAATAAACACAGCTACTACCCCTAATCTTTTGGGTTTGAAATGGTTGAGAAGAGAGCAGATTCTCACATACCCCAAAGCCTAATATTTCTCTCAAGCAAGACCCTGGTGCTGTGTCCTGTTTGGCACTGAAGTTGGCCTCACTGCATTCCATTATTTCAACATTTTAAAAATATAATATCTGAGTAATTTAGTGTCTTTCACTAGACAACCCCCTTCTCAGCCTTTAAAACCTGACCCTCCCATGGACTTTTGCAGAGGATTAAGCCAGGAAACCTTGTGGAGATATATGAATCTCATTTTCATCAGGACTCAGGGGAAGTAATACACAATGCTGAGAATATTAAAAAGATTATATCATCCATACCTGGCAACCAAAACTGTTATACACGCTCTTAAACTCACATACTGAGACCAATTATCCTGCATGCAAGTACTCTCATCGGCAGAACTGCTCCCTATGGTGCATTAATCCAAAGGAAAAAGTATAAAGTTTGGTTGCCAGAGGGGGTACCCAGTTCTGGACATAAAGTTGGAGCTCTTCCATCAACAAGAACCACATGTGTTTTCAGTATGTCCACTTGGGTGAACTTGCCTCTTGGTGTGAGGAGTGAGTAGCATCCTGGCTTATGAGAACTTCTGTCAAGATTTCCCTCAAAGAATTAAAACTGGCTTTAGTAATTAATGTGTATCCCCAACAAAGGAAGGAACCCATCAATACAGTGGTCCATAACTTCCCAAGGTGGGGTAGGGGTGGGGGGGACACCCTAAGAGGTAGAATTGCCACAGAAATAAGGTAAAGCCAAAGGAAGAGTTTATAAGTCAGTCTGTGAGGTGATCTTTGCCCCATCGCTGTCATTGTGCAGGATACTCTATTCAGCCTAAAGAATCACCGCACATCTAAGGAGATGACAGCACATTGTAAGACAAGCCCAAAAGCTTTTCCGTTAAGCAAAGGTGGCTGACCCAATACAGAGACACTGATCTTAGGTTTTCCAGTGATGTCCCTTTCACCCTCTCATCCCAAAGAGCTCCCCAGGAAGTCTGAGAACTCATGGTGATGAAGCTAGTATTTCTATCCTCACTTTGCAGAGATGAGGGAACATTCCCAAGGTCTCAGCGGAACTAGAGCACATCTTGCTAGAAGTCCAGAAACCTGGATTGAATTTTAGTTAGTTCACTGCTTCATGTGTCTATCTTCCTGTCCTCACCGCCCCATCTCAACCCCAGGTCCCCAAAGCAATTGAGCCAAGAAAAGGGTCCAGGGAAATAGGACTGGGCATGAATCATGTGTCTCCTGTTAAAGGCTATAAAAGCTGCATTCAACTGGGGAAAGATAATCTAATAGCAACACATGATGTCATGGTCAAAGCCGGTCTCCGGAGCAAATCAATTTCATAAGTTCTCATGAATAAAAATAAAAATGAACGCAATTTTAGTCCTGGCTTTCCGGGCTCACTAAGTCCAACAATTCAGTTTTCAGCAAGGATTTCTTTCTAGCCACCCAATGATGCTTATTTTCTCCTTCATTTCTCTGACTTCAGCAGATCTCTCAGGACAAGGGCATCTGGCCACTGCCCTGATTATTGCTATGTCCACCATCTTCATCATGGCTATTGCCATTGTCCTCATCATCATGTTTTACATCATGAAGACAAAGCCTTCTGCCCAAGGTAGCATACCCCACCCCCAACTCCTGACATCTCCATGAAAAACTACACCTGTTTACTCAATGCAGCCTCTAAGTATGGCCACTAATGAACTTCTCATTCACGTTCCAGCCTGCTGCACCAGCCATTCCGTGAAGACTGTGGAAGCTCAAGTCAGCAAACAAGAAGAGAAAAAAGAAGTTCAAGGTCTGAACAAACTGTTTTACTCTTTTTTAGCTTTCTCCTGGAGACCAGTAGGGATTTACATTTCCCTTTTATCAGCCACCTCTGAACAGCCTTCCCTCCTAATTGCTTAAGCTCTTGTACCATTTAGAAAAGAGACTAGGGGAAGTGGTATCTAGAGCACCAAAATTTTGTTTAATCCTCGGGGAGTAATTAGAAGAATAACATCATTCAGGGGGATTTACCTGGCACACACAGACTGTCAAAGAGGTAGAGCCCCAGCATCACTTTCAACTCATCCCTCCATAAATCCTCTTATTCACCTGCAGAAAACGTTGTGATTTTTGCTGAGAAGGATGAGTTTGAGAAGCTGACAGCAACACCAGCAAAGACTGCCAAGAGGTAAGGTCAGACTGGGTGGCAAGGGTGCTACAAGTGATGTTAAGTGGCCAGGCTTAACGGCAGCTCCTGGCAGGGAACAAGAGAGACAACAGAGGAAGCCAGCCACTTAGTGAGCTCAGAAATTAACCACACCAATCAGTCTATCTGGTTCAGCTCTCCAGGCTTTTGCTGAGGAACTCGAGAATGCAGAGCATAGCGAGGATGACAAGGATAGTCTGCAGCTTACTTGGGTTGGACACATTTGAGCATGGGCCACGTGAGCTGCTGGTGGAGTTTACGTTGACCAGATTACCATGGATTAATCATCAAAGTCCAGACTTCAGTTCCTTAGATTCTTACCTCCTAAGCCTACTAGACGTTTCGTATCAGAGGCGGTTTAAGGCAATGGAAACCAATTTCTGCTTGCTTGCTTTGGGTAGCCAAATTATCCCAGACCTACATAAAAGCTAAGGTTAACCTAAGGTACAAAGGAAGACATAGGGCCCAGGATTAGGGAGGCCAGAGATCCATTTCCGAGGTCAGTCTACATCTTCTAATCCCATGTATGCAATTTTTATGTGGCAATGAGAAGGCTTTAAAAGAAAGACACATTTGTTGTCTAATGGAGAAAGCCACAATGTTGGCTCAACAGTCTGATAATGAATTAACTGGACATATTTTATCTGACATAATAAAGCAAATTCTCTGCCCTATGGAGAATAAAATCTTAATAATACTATATGATCTGAAGTATTATGACATAATACGAAGTATTATGACATATTATGAAGCAACTACTGCACGCAGAGCACCGTGCATGGTGTCAGGAGAGACATAAAATTTATAAATGGCCCCTGCCCTGAAAGAGCTTACAGTCTAATGGGGGATAAAACACCAACATGGATAGCTATAACGCACAAGATTACAGGCCTTAGAGTTCATTAGAGAGTTAGAAAACAAAATGTTTTCTGAGAGAAAAAGGAAAGGAGATAAGAGGAAAGAGAGGAGAGGAGGGGAGAGGAGAGAAGAGGAGAGAAGGAAAGAAAAATAACTAACTAAATAGTCCCTGCCACTAAGGAGCATAAATGGCATGTGAATGTGCAGGGAAAATCTTTAAAAGAATATGTTCTAGGAAACGTAGAAACTTGAAAATGGGATTGTAAAAGCCACAGCAAAGCCCTGGTTTCATCTTTTGCTGCCTGTTCTGAAGATGTTAGGTAATGGATCTCAGTAAAGGACATGGGAGCAGACTTGCCTGTTCTCTCCTTTCACTGTTGCCTTCTGTCATGGGCAGACAAAGGATGGGCATCTGAGCTGACTGCCCATGAGAGTTTGAGATCAAATTAGAAAGTGGGCACATCATCCATTCCTTTTATTTTGTTTTTATCACTGCGCCTCTAGGGCTGTTCTTGAGCATGGGCTATAACCCGGCTACCCACAAATATAATCCTTTTCATAAGACTTCAGCCAAACCACAAAAGAAGAACAGAATCCTCATGAAAGAATGTTGTTTCCATATATTTTGAATGATTTTAATGAGCTGTGGAGAAGCCTTTTCTGAACATTGACTCTTTTGCTAGCTTAAAGCCCCAGTGCACATGTGCTTAGGAGTTAGAAATGCTACCCAGGTAGTTCCTTTGGAGCCTGGCAGAGAGATTCACGGGTCTAGAAGACAAGCCTTCCTTCACTGGGAGATCTGGTCCCCTCCCTATAGCAAGGATTCCTTGGGCTGGATACACAGAGGTGATGTTTATCCAAAAATGGACATCTCTAAGAAGATTTTCCAACAATAGACTCAATCTTCTTTTCTGTAACTTCTACCCATTTTTTGTTTATTTATTTTAGTTCTTCCCTCTGAGGTTAAATAGAACAAGTCTAACTCCTCTTTTGGTAATAATTCTTCAAATACTTGAAGATAGCTACTATGTCCACCCTGAATTTACTGTTCTCTTAATTAAACCTGCCAAGTTCCTTCAACTGATGTTTCCAGCTCTCTCACTATGTGAGATGCCTTCTTCTGGACAAGGCTCCCATTTGTTAGTGTCCTTCCTAAAAAGTGGCATCCAGAAAACTACTCAGCTGCTAAGATCATTTTTCTAAAACATTAAGTCTGACCATATCCTCCCTTCCCCCACTCTCATCCCCTTTGCTCAGTGAGCTTCAGGGGCTTCCTCATATCTCCAGTATCAAATACAAAGTCCTCCATTTAGCATCTATGGTTCTTTGCAATCTGACCTCTTCCTACCTTCTTATACCTTACTCACTTCCATAAACTCTACCATCCAGCTTTTACTTGCATTTCCTACAATATAATTTCTGGTCCCCTTATCAGCTCCTTTGCACTTTGCAGAGGGAAAGGACTGGAATACTCTGCCCCTTCACTTCTGCCCAGGGGTGTGCTGGAGCCATCTCTTCTCAGCTTGTGAGACCCAGTTGTTAAATTTATCCCTCAGAGATCAGCAAATACTATACATCAGAGCTTGATTTATGGTTTTTTTTTAATTGTCTAGACTTAAGAAAGTGATGGACAATATGTTATTAATGCAGAATGAACTTGAGAGTGTGTTGTACCTACTTTTTTACTGAGCAGCTGGTTGTTAAACATTTACCAGGATACCATTTTCTTTGCCTCTTCACTTCCCTGGCTTCCTTGAAGACTCAGTGCAAAGCCTACCTGCAGGAGAGCTTTCCTGGTCCACCTTACTTCTAACGTGCTAATGCCTTCCACTTTAAGATTACCGTCTATTCTAATATACCTTGTATCTATCTGTTTTCATGTTGCCTCCTCCATTAGGATATATGCTCCTGTAGGACAAGGCTTTTTGCCTTTCTAGTATCCGTAAGACAGTATCTGGCATACTCTGCTTAATAAGTGGTTATTGACTGACAATATAACATTCCAAATGTTGTCTGACTCAGATAGGACACAGTGTGATCCTCACCTCTCTTAATGCAGCCAGAGATTGCATTGACTTTTTGGTCACTGTGCTACCTTGTTTATTCTTATTGACCTTGTAAGCTCATTAAAATAACGACAAAATCTGTCTCTTATCACATTAACTGCTGTGTAGTAGGAATTTTTACATCCTTCCATCATCTTCATATTCAGTTGATTATTTTTAGCCCAAATGTAAGACTTCACCTTTATTCATATTAAGTCATTTTATTAGATCTGACCCATCATTCTTGCCTCTCGAGATTTTTGATACAATGGAAAGATGATCAGACTTCAGTCAGATGTACAAATCTGGACTATGCCATTTACTATCAACATGACCTTAGAAAAGACCCATTAGTGCTTTCTTCCTTCTAAAATTGTCTTCTGATGCAGTGGCTGGAGCACTGAGCCTGGAGTCAGGAAGACCTGAGTTCAAATTCAGCCTCAGATACTGTGTGACTCTGGGCAAGTCACTTAACCTATGTTTGCCTCAGTTTCCTCCTCTGTAAAATGGGGATAATAATAACACCTACCTCTTGAGGTTGTTGTGAGGATAAAATTAGAAATATATTATAAACCATTTAGCACAGTGCCTGGCATGGAGTAAGTGCTATATAAATGTTGAGCTCTTGTTATTATTATACCTATCTGTTTACATGTTATCTCTTATCTTTTAGAAAGTAAGCTCATTGAGGGCAAGGCTTACTTTTTTTTTATCTTTGTACCCCCAACTCCTAGAAGAGTGCCTGGCACATTATAGGCCTTTAATAAATGCTTATTGAATTAAATTAAATTGAATATCAATCCTCACTTACATGATATACAAATTCTAACAAACTCACACCCGTTGGTCTCACTTTAATGGAGCCCTCTTTAATGGACCCTCTCTTGGTCCATTTGCAAACATGCTTTAATTTGCATCCTGATCAAAATCTGCTCGCAACAAGCAATCTAGGAGTTGAATTTTAGATGGTTCCACTTTGAAGGATACCATTCATATTCCCTTCTCTTTCCCCAGTGAGAACGATGCCTCTTCTGAGAATGAACAGCTTCTGAGTCGGAGTGTGGACAGTGATGAAGAAGCTGCAGTTGACAAGCAAGGGTCCCCAGAGCTGTGCCTGCTATCATTAGTCCATTTGACAAGGGATAAATCTTCCACAAACAACAAATCAACTGGGGTAAGTTGCCAACACGCGCACACCATTCTTCTACAAATACAATTTATGGCTACACTAAAATAATGCCCTGCATCTATAATGGAGATTCACCTGATTGATGGGAATTTAGGGGCAAGAAACTTCCTTTCGGCGATGTCTTCTGCTGCCAAAGTGTTCTTCCATGAAGCCATGGATGTTGAGCACACTGAAAACTAATTCCTCTGTATTGTATTGACTCAGTGATAGGGCTATCAATGGACCACTTTGCAGGAAATAAAGTTTTTTAAGTGGGTAGTGGACTAGACTTTTGTTGGAGGCTTTTCATGGCTCCCAAATTCACTACATACAGATTTCTCATACTCGACTCTACTTTGACAGAGCAAAGCTGGGACTGGTCAAAGAGGTTGCTGACAGGGATCCCCAGAAGGCACTGTTTAAACTGCTGTTTCCCCATCAATATGAAATCATGTGTTTTTTCTGTTTCTGTTTTTGCTTAAAGATTCAGAGTAGAAGAAAGAAGATCCTTGACGTGTATGCCAACGTGTGTGGGGTGGCAGAAGGTAAGCACTGGAGGTTTTGTTTTGTCTGTCTCCGTAGGCACTTAATAAATGATTGCTGCACTAAACTAAATTGAATGCCAGTCCTCACTCACATGATATATATATCCCAACTAATTACAGATGTAATTAAAGTAGGTAACTGAGGCAACATGGCCCCAGGGTCAGTAAGATAAGAGTTCAAACCCTACATCTGACAAATTTCTTCACCTCTCGGTGCTTCGGGAAATGCTCTAAGATTTTTAAGTTACAGAGCAGTTGTCTGCCTGGGTAAAAGGAATCTTTGTCCTCAGGAGTTCACTATGTCACAGATCAGGTCAACCCCAACTGTGTGATCATAACCCACTTCTAGGTGTATCCGAGGTCCTTTTTACCTCATATCAGCAACAAGAGAGTTTGGCGCAAGATTTCCAGTATTCTTTGGGAGCAAGCTGAGCAAAATGGCCCATGCCAATGTATCGGATACTCTGGATTAGCAAACTCAACCAACCTCAGGAGGAAGGAGAAGAAAGGGCCTGAATTCAGCCAAGCCAACCTATGGTATAGTACAGGAGTCCTCTCCAACCAACCCTCCCCTCTGTCACCTCCTTAGCGTGGACAAGCAAATACTCGGTCTATCCTGACAAAACCCTTGTTGCACATTCTTGAAACCATGAGACAAAACACTTCTCCTCACAGCTAATGCCCAAGTGGGCCCAGCAGCATATGAGGGCATTCTCTGTTGCCACTAGGTAAAGGGCTATATGGTGCTTGGAGTCAGAGGCTTGGAGTCAGAGGACATGAGTTAGAATCCCAGATCTGCCACTTCCTATCTGTGTGACAAAGGACAAATACTTCACATCTCTGGGTTTTGGTTTCTTCTTCTGCAAAATGAGGGACTTGGGTTAGATGGCATCTAAGGTCCCTTCCAACTCTAAATCCATGATCCCAAGATCAGAGGCAGGTAGGGAGAATCAATTCAATAGCCATTTATAAAGCATTAAGTTATATATGGGCAAGGCACATATATAATACTTTCCTAAATGCAAAGGGGCTTCATTTGGGATGCAGTGCTCTTGTAACTAAATCCAAGTTGGCACCACCATCATCATCATCAAAAATATTTACTAACCACCCTTTTATCTAATACATGTCCAGCAGGAGAGACAGCCTGCTGTAAAGAGCTGGCCTCTAAGCCAGGAAGACCTTGGTTCAAGTCTCACCTCTGGCATATACTTGCTGTGTGACCCTTGGCAATCATTTAACCTCTCTGTGCTCTAAGCAGTTCTCTAAGACTGCAAGTTGCTGAGAAGATATTAATCTTCATTGGTAAAAGGAGTTTCCTTGTCTGGGAGTAACCCATATCAACGAAATCACAGGTCCAGTCTCTATCCCTGTGATCAACATGGTCCCTGATCTCCAGAAACTCATAATGTAAAATGGATGGGTAAAGGAGGCTTGACTCTGCTGTCTACCACTCACTTGGCATCCTAAGTTAATGACCAAATTTGACTTTATTCTCTAATGGGTGGCTACAGTTTGAGAACTCACCATGAGGAGACAGCAAAATGAGGAAAGGTCAAGGTTTTACACGAGTAATAAACCACACTCTCCTCCTTAGAAATCCTCCCAAAATTGCTTACCCTCAAAGTGATCAATTTCTCTGTGACAGCCAATGGTTAAGCATGACTGCCCAAACTGTTCTTCTGAGCCCTGTCCTCAGTGCAAGTGGCCAGCTCTGCCTCCTGTCTCCAGGTTTTTCCATTTCTCTGGGGCAACTAGGTAGTACAGTGGATAAAGCTCTAGACCTGGAATTAGGAGGACCTGAGTTTAAATCCAGTTTCAGATATTTCCTAGATGTGTGGCCCTGGACAAGTCACTTAGCTTTCATTTGCCTCAGTTCCTCATCTATAAAGTGGGGATAATAATAGTGCCTACCTCTCAGTATTGTGCGGATCAAATGAGGCACAGTGGTACATAGTAAGCATAGTAGGTACTATATAAGTGTAAGCTATTATGTGTCACCACCCTTTACTCCACCACAGCCATCTCATCCATCATCTTTATCTCAGCTCACAATGCAGATCTGTACTTAACCTTACCAAATGACCAAAATTTAAAATTTAAAACAAAAACCTCTATCCACTTGTAAGTTAATGAAACCATTCTCAGAGTTCCCAAGTTAAATGACAGTCATCCAAGTGACACAGATTCCCCCCATCCCTATATGACAAATGGACAGACACAAAGACTTAGGAAAAACTTACCTTGGGTTCAACAAGATTGAACAAAGACTAGAAAAATACGGAGACCCGACCCAGCCCTCACTAGACCTCCATTTCCCAGTGAGCTCTTAGTCCCAATTTTTTTTCCTTTCTTTGTACTCCCAACACTTAGCACAGTGCCTGGCACGCAGTAGTCACTTAATAAATACTAGTTGATTGCATGTCTACTAGATTTGGAGTCAGAGATCTTAGGTTTGAATCCTGTCTTTGCCTCTGACTTCCTGTGTGATCATGGGTACCTCACTTAACTTTTGCTCAACTTTAAAATGAGAAGATTGGACTAGATGGCCTCAGAATCTTCTTCTAGTGCTAAATCTATTATTCCCACCCAGTATTAAGTGTAAATGCAACAATTTTCTGAGGTCACTAACGCTCTAGAATTTTTTCTTCAAGGACTGAAAAAAATAAAAAAACTTAAGTCCCCTTAAGGAAAGGAGTAATAATAGCAATGTCTTATTTTAAGTAATTTTTTTTACATTTCTAAAGGAAAAACACTTAAGGATCTTTGGGCTGATGGAAATGATACTTCTTCATTCTAGAACTACAAGGGAGCTGGGTACAACTAGGAGCTGGTTAGAACTCACTCACTCGAAGCACCAGAGATTTTTGTATTCAAGTCCCATCCTCAGACTCCACAACTTCAGAGGGTTTTTTAAGCAAATATGAAAGCCATGTTTCTGGGTCTATTTTACAAAGGAGCCTCTAAGGACAGCTTTGTTTCTTTGTTTATAGCCTCTTCTGAGTATGTATAGCTATTTGTCCTTCTACCTCCTGTAGAGGGAGTGAACATTTAACAAATAAGTAGTAGAAATATATCCCCTTTGCAGAGAGATAAACAGAGTTGTGAGAAGCTCCTTCTTCAGTGCTGTGAATCAGTGCCAGGGGTTAGAATCCACCCTTTCCTCTATTTACCTCCGGCTGGCCCCTCCTCCTCTTCCACACACCCCCAAATACCACTTCACTGACGGCTGCTGACCCACAAGATAATGAGGATTTATCTTCCTTTGGCCCTAACTAAACACAAAGTCTGGTTTCACCTGAATACTTGCAAAGGCAAAACCCAAGTTCAAGGGCTGGATAGGGCACTAAGCCTGTTGTGGCAGAGACTGTATTGTGACCAAATCCCTGGAAATGAGTAGCTCCCAATTAGGCCACTGGAAGGTTGGCTTCTACTGCTGGCTGAGCTGGAAATTGCTCAATGAAACACCTGTGATCCAGACAGCTAGACAACAGCTGCTCTGGGCTGCTTGGTCTACAGAGTTTTTACCTCATGCCAATGCATACCCCAAAGCTTGAGAACAGGCTTCATTACTAGAGAAAATACACTTAAATAGGAAGGGATTGCCCCTTCAGGCTGTCCTTTTCTGACTTCTTTCCCTTCTGCTGTACTGTAGAAATGAGCTTAAAATTCTGTTGTCCAATGTGACCCAAGTATCATCAGATTGAACCTTTGACCTAATGGAATGAATGGTTGTCACTTATCTAGAAATGAGGAAGTACTTGGATTCAAAAGTATCAGGAATGCTGCCAATAGCCTTTCTAGGAACGTTTCAACAGAAATCTATGTGCCAAATTCTTTTTTAAACTTTCCTTATTTTTTTAATCTTTTTTTTGGATACATTTTGTTTTTATATCACCTGTGCCACCTAGCTGCCCTTCCCTGATTCCATACCCAACTCCAAACATGGTGGCAGGACAGGACGAGGCTTCCCTTCTCAGCAGGCACCTGCTAGCTTTGGAGGTTACGTTTCCCATCTCCCAGATCCACATCTGGGAGATTATTAGTCAATATTATTACAGCATCTTTATTAATATTAGTCAATAATTATTGTGTCAAGAGTTGCCTAAATTGAAGAGTCATGGGATACACTTGTTTAAAACAAAGAGTTTTGTGTTCCTGTTGCCTAAAATGTATGATTTCTGACTTGGACTCTCTGCTCTTCCAGGTCTCAGCCCCACGGAATTACCATTTGACTGCCTAGAGAAGACAAGCAGGATGCTCAGCTCCACCTACAACACTGAGAAGGCCATCGTGAAAACATGGCGCCACCTTGCTGAAAGCTTTGGATTGAAGAGGGACGAGATAGGGGGGATGACAGATGGCATGCAGCTCTTTGACCGAATCAGCACAGCAGGCTACAGCATCCCAGAGCTCCTCACAAAACTCGTACAGATCGAGCGGCTGGATGCTGTCGAGTCTCTGTGCGCCGACATTTTGGAGTGGGCTCAGGTCATGCCAACACCTCAACCTCCTGTCACAACCTGATGAGCATCATTAGGAACTGCCCCACTTTTTGTTGAGATGTGACTTCGCTTCCTTCACCTGAGAACAGTGCAAGGGTGATTGAGCTGGGAGACTTGGAACCAGCAGTAGTGGCTACTCACAGGCTTCCTAAAAATTAAGGCTTTTCTCACATGTCACTAGGTCATAGCTTAGGCTGTTCTGAGGAGCAAGGGGGAAGCCAAAGACAAAGCTAGTGATGTATCGGCTGGGGAATACTAAGCCAAACACCGTACCTCAGGAGGATGAATGGATGAACACATTCATTCAACGACCATTATTACTTAGCACCTACTATGTTTTTTATAGCACTGTGCTGGGCACTATGGGAAGATGTAAAGATGTATAAAAGATGGTCTCTGCTCTCAAAGGGCTTACAATCTAGTTGAGGAGATGAAATATACACAATGGCAACACCAAGTGATTCAGTAGTCATGCTGTTGGAGTTGAGAAGAGGAAGAGAGTACTTCTGTCTGACAGGTAATCCAGGAAGGCTTCATAGCAGAGGTGCTCTTTATGGGAAGTTTTGCCAAATGGTCATAATGAACGCACACTTCTCTCTATGCATCTTTTCATTTCCTAGCGTCAGTTCAGATTGGTCTGTTAATATCCCATCTGGCTTTGCAGGGAAACAGTTTAATTACACTTGAGCCTACATATTTCCCGTGCCTCTCTCCCATCAATAATTTAGTGCTCTCTGTGACTTACTTTGTAAAACAGATACACAAAGCCAATCTCAGTAGATGTAAGTGGTCACTAGTTTCATTGCTTCCTCGTATCACAGATCTGTTCAGAGTAGCAAAGAGTATCTTATTGCAGATTAATCACTTTGTATTTTCATAAGTAGCCCAATTTAGAGATGTCAAATTCAGGCATCAAAAGCGACCTAATCTATGCTCCTCAGTGGTCTATATGAAAAATGAGGGCCAGAGAGGTTAAGAATCTACAAAGTGACATAGCTAGTTAAGAGTCCAAGCAAGGTCTTAAATTGAAGGCACCAGATAACTTAGTCCAAGGCTCTTTTCCTTTATTTTATTTATTTATTTTTTTAAAGACTGGGTCTCCTCATCTTGCCCAGGCTGGAAGTACAGGGGTTACCCACAGGCCTGATTCTACTCCTGATCAGCAGGGGAGCTTTGCCCTACTCCATTTACAACCTGCTCCAGTTTGCCCCTCAATAGGGAACTTGGTGGCCCTCTCCTTGTTGGGGCTCATGGTGCACACTCTATTGGCTCAGCCCCACTGTCCCTTGGAACTCCCCAGCCTCAGCATGTGCCTCCATGCCCATCTCTTTCCAGCTGAATTTTACTTTGGGCAGAAAAATGCCCAAGGACCAGTAAGCAGCTGGTATCACTCTTTAAAGGGGGAGATATGATAGCTTACTGATTAAGGGTTCTGTCAGGCACAAAGACCATCTAATGTTTCATGGAGGAACATCCCATTAAGAGAGTTTCATCCTCCAATATTCCTTCTCTGTAGAACCAATCAGGAAAAGGCAACACTGAAATTCATTGGAAGGTAGCCAGTTCAAGAACCGTATCAGGAACCTAGAAACCTACATCATAGCTTTAGCTACCCCTCCCCATATCTAGTTATGGAGTAACTTCACCTCTCTAGGCCTCAGTTTCCCCATCTATAATAGGGTTGTGCTCACTGATTTATAAGATTGCTTCTAGCCCTGGAATTCCATGATTCTATCATCAACAAAGTTGAAGCTCATCAGACCCCAATGAAGATGGAGACTTAGGAAAACAACAGTGTTGAAAAAGCGGCACATGGAAACCACATGGATTTGAAATGCAAAATAGGAACCAAGGCCATAAAGACTTAGTTTTGAAGTTTTCCACGGCAACTGTCTGCCATAACATTTAGAGATAAAGTTAGCAAAGTGACATTGTTCTTGGCAGGGTGGTTTTCCCAAACCTGTAATTGCAAAGAGAGCGGCAGCCAGCCCCAGTTATCACCCCAGTGGGTTAATTTACAGTTCATTGCTGACATGCTGTAATGGCAGGTTTCACTAGAGCTATTCCTAAATTAAAACAAATTCCGTAGCTTACAAAGTAATATTTTTTAAATTACAAGTTGCATGACTGAGCAATTGCTTCGGGGTGGGGGAGGTTGGGCAGGCAGGGAGGAGGGGAATCGGTTGTCTGCTTGAAGCTTACAACTAAATTTCTACTGTTGCAAAAGTAGAACATACTGTGATAGGATCATAATTAGGTCCTGAATATTTAATATCACCATTTACAGTCTCTGTTTGCTGCTGTTTTCAGAACCTATTTTGTATATCCTGTGAGCTACATACTCTGAGGTGAAACTTAATTATCCTTTTTAATTTCTCTTTGAAATCCTACCGTGCACCCTCTTCACCTTCTTCCCCCTGCTTTGTGCTAATGATGATAAAAGCCTCTCCCTTAATTAGATGGCAAATGCCATATGTGATGAGCACCCTTTTCTCCAAGAGCAGTTTGTTGTTTGTTTCTTTTAAAAATTAGTTTCAATTGAGAAGAGAAGGCAAAACTGCTATTTCTGTCTTCGGGCATTTGGCCAAGTCTAGTGAGCATATTCTGCAGGCATAGTTTTGGCCTGAATCTTGCCATCTTCCATCTCGTGGCCATAGGCCATTGACTCATCCAAAGGTAGAAACACTTTAAATGGCATATACCGATGGAGCTTTGATGGATAGCTGGCTTTCAGAATCAGCTGGGCTACCATGATAAGTGCACCATTGGCTACCCTTGTCAATTTCCAGGGAGATAGCCATAATTTTATTATTGCTAAAACACACAGGAGAGGAAGCACAACATGGTGGATAAAGTAAGACCTAGGTTTAAGACCTGCCTCTGACACATACTAGCTGTATAAACATGGGCAAATCCTTCAACCTCCCAGTAATCTCAAGCAACTCTTTAAAACTATACATTATAGACAAGTTGTCAATCTGCATTAGTGCAAGGAATTTCCATGCCGGGAGCAACCAACACTGAGGAAATTGTAGGTTTGGACTAAAAGAGAGAGAGAGGAGAGGGAACCAAACCAGGATATGCCTGTGTCAGTGAAGTCTTAATTGCTAATAATTTTGTCTGACTCTGTATATATAACTTATTATATTGTACAATCTAAATACATAAAGAAGCTAAAAAAGAGCATTAAATACGGTCTCCTTCATTATGGAAAATCCTTATAAGGCATGAAATATTGAGATGCAGTATGGTACAGTGGGAAAAGCTCAGAAGACCTGGGTTTGAATCTCTGCTCTGTTACCTGGGTGACCTGGGGTGGATTCACTTAACTTCTCTGGAATTCAGTTTCCTTATCTGTAAAATGAGTAGACTGGACTGAATGACCTCTCAAATACCTTGAAGCCCCAAATCTAAGATCTTCTGATGTAGAGTTGTGAGCACCAAATGTTATTTGCCTACAATTCACTGGGGGTCATTTGTTCCGAAGAATGGGTTATTGAAATATCATTGCGGCAACCATGTGGTGCATCCTTTGCCAAGTTGCCATGACTTACGGGGGTGCTTTGGCAATGGATTGTGAAACATAACGAGGCAATATAACTTTCAGGGCAGTACTCTGTCACCAGCACACTTTCCAGCTGGATTTATTTTTTCACGTTTATAAAGCACAAAACAAGTAGTGGGCCAGCTTCCCAATGGAAATTCTAGTGAGAATTCATGGGTGAATTTCCAGATGGTTATATAGGAAGAAGCTGAACCCACTTGTGAAATATCCTAGTCAGAGAGTTCTCAATGCCAAAGATCTACAGATGAGCCCTACCCTGCCTTTCTCCTCCGGGACAGGGATAACCTTATCCCAAATCCATGGGGCTGTGAGTGAGGCCACTCTTTCATCCATAACCTCCTACACTTGGGTTGAGTGATTCATGAGTTCTTTCATTTCATAATTTCATTATTCAGTGCTATTTTCTTAGACATTGCTCATGTTCGCTAGTGAAATCACTTACTTTGCCTGTAACAGGGACCTAGGGGAAAAAAGGGAGGGGGAGGCAGCTAAGTGGACCTGGAGTTAGGAGCACCTGAGTTCAAATATGACCTCAGACACTTACTAGCTATGTGACCCTGGGCAAGTCACTTAACCCTGATTGCCTCCCCACCACCCCCCACCAAAAAAAAAAAGCCAGTTTCCTTGAGGATCCAAATGTGAGCTATTGACCTCCTACAGAACAGGCCTATGAGGTGAGAGGATCCCTCCACCTCTCCACCCATCCATTTGGAGCTCTATTACAGCTCCTACTCCTCTGGCAGCAAAAGGCTGCCCCAGGGTTTCTTTCTATGGGTATTTAGATATTGCTTGATGATTGTTTTTGTCTTAGTTTTTTAACAAAGAGGAAGAATTAAAAACTGAACAGAAAGAGAACTGGACCTAGTAGAAAAAAAGATATATACCGGCTCTAGAGTCAGGAGGACCTGAATCTAAATCCACCCTCAGACACTTACTAGCTGTGTGACCCTGGACAAGTCACTTAATCCTGACTGCCTTTCCCCCTCCAATCCCCCCAAAAAAGAAAGAAAGTACAGAGACAGGTTTTTAATTCAATGTAAGGGAAAAAACAGCAAGCAAGCTGACAACTCTTTAGCTGTCTTTAAAGAGATATCTTGGTGTAGTGGATAGAGGACTAGTCCCAAATCCTGGAAGACCTGGGTTCATGTTCTACCTCTGATGACCCTGGGTAAGTCACTAAACCTTGTAAGTGTTCAAGGCAGTTCTGTAAAACTATGTATTACAGAGAAAATGCCAACTTAAATTGGTACAGAGTTTCCCCACGTGGGATTTCTTTATTCCAGTGAAATCACAATTGTAGTCCCTATTCCTATTTAAAAAAAAAAAAGCTACTTTATAATTAAAGCTAACAAAAAAATGGAGTGGGCCTTCTTTTTATTTTTTTAGTGACTTTTTTATAATAGTATTTTACTTTTTTCCAATTCCATGTAAAGACAGTTTTCAATATTCATTTTAAAAAGTTTTTGAGTTCCAAGTTGTCTTCCTCCCTCACCATTCCTTCCCTAAGGCAGTAAGCAATTTGATATAGGTTGTGTATGTGCAATCATGTAAAACATATTTCCATATTAGTCATGTTGTGAAAGAAACAGGCCAAAAGAAAAGAACAACAAAAAAAATAAAGAAAGTGAAAATAGGGTAGCTAGGTGGTGCAGTGGATAGAGCACCATCCCTGGAGTCAGGAGGACCTAAGTTCAAATCTGGCCTCAGACACCTACTAACTGTGTGACCCTGGGCAAGCCATTTAACCCCAGTTGCCTAAAAAAAAAAAAGTGAAAATAGTATGCTTCAATCTGTAGTCAGATGCCATCAGTTCTTTTTCTGGATATGGATAGCATTTTCTGTGATGAGTCTTGTGGAACTGTCTTGGATCACTGTATTGCTGAAAAGAACTAAGTTGTTCATAGTTGATCATTGCACAATGTTGCTGATTGTACAATGTTGTCCTGGTTCTGCTCACTTCATTTCGCATCAGTTCATGTAAATGTTTCCAAGTTTTTCTGAAATCTACCTGCTCATCACTTCCTATAGCACAATAATATTCCATCACAATTATATACCACAACTTGTCCAGCCATTCCTCAACTGATGAGCATCCCCTCAATTTCCAATTCTTTACCATCACAAAAAGAGCTATACATATATATACACACACACACACACATACACACACACACATATATACACACACATCTATACGTATTTGCACATATAGATCCTTTTCCCCTTTTTGTGATCTCTTGGGGATACAGATCTCATAGTGCTATTGCTGGATCAAGGCAGATACACAGTGTGATTGCCCTTTGGGCATAGTTCTAAATTGCTCTCCAGAATACTTGTGTCATTTCACAACTCTACCAACAGTGCATTAGTGTCCTAATTTTCCCAAATCCGCTCCAATTTTTATCATTTTCCTTTTCTGTCATATTAGCCAATCTGATAGGTGTGAGATGGTACCTCAAAGCTGTTTTAATTTGCATTTCTCTCATCAACAGTGATTTAGAGCATTTTTCTATGACTATAGATAGCTTCAGTTTCTTTGTCTGAAAAGTACCTGTTCATATCCTTTGACCATTTATCAATTGGGGAATGGCTTGTATTCTTCTAAATCTGACTCAGTTCTCTATATATTTGAGAAATGAGGCCTTCATCTGACACACTTGCTATAAAGATTGTTTCCCAGATTTCTGTTTTTCTTCTAATCTTGGTTGCATTGGTTTTGTGCAAAAACTTTTTAATTGAATATAACCAAAATTATCCATTTTACATTTTGTAATGCTCTCTAGTCTCTTGTTTGGTCATAATTTTTTCTCTTCTCCATAGACCTGGCACATAAACTATTCCTTGCTCTCCTAATTTGCTTATGGTATCATCCTTTATGTCTAAATTATGTACCCATTTTGACCTTATCTTGGTATACAGTATAAGGTTTTGGTCTACACCTAGTTTCTGACATATTGTTTTCCAGTTTTTCCAGCAGTTTTTGTCAAATAGTGAGTTCTTATTTCAGAAGCTGGGGTCTTATATTTATCACACACTAGGTTACTATGGTCATTTACTACTATGTCTTATGTACCTAATCTATTACACTGATCTCTCTAATTAGGGAAGACAACACCTAAAAGAAAGTTCATTTACAAGTCAAATAGAAGGGTCTAGAAGTGCTAAGACTATAGTAGCAGGGCAGATGGCAAGGACCGGGGGTTCTTTATGTTACATTAGTAGGCCAGATGACAGTGCCAGGGGAACACAGAGTCAATAGTAAGATCTGGTGGAAGGAATAGTCAATAACTCTCATCTTCTCTAAGCCTTGTGAGTAGCCTATTACATCAAGCCTGAATGGGCTCTGGGAGGCTTAGGCCAGGGGAGGGGACAAAGGAAAGAAAAGGGGAGAGCTGATAGGTCTTCCTGATGCCCAATGATCCCAGACAGGGTTCTATAAAACAATGATAAAAATATTTGATGTTGCTGATGACGGATAACCTCTATGATTTCTTTCATCATAAAGATTCTATGATTCTATAATCATCTACCAAGGTCTTTAAATAATTTGTTACACTGAAAAGGTCTTCAGAGAACTCTTTCCAAAGGCATAGCCTGGGAATTGGTTAGCTTCCTCAATTTCTCATAAATCTAATATCTTGTTACCATACCTTTCAACCAACAGAAACAAGTAATAATAAGACAAGGGGGGAAATGGAGAAGTTGAAAATATTTGCTTGAAAATAATTCCATAGGTTTTTTATCTGTGTTTTCTTTCATAGCATGACTTACATGGAAATATGTTTCATATGACTACACATGTGTAACCTATGTCAAATTGTTCACCTTCTCAATGAGGTGGGGAGGGAAAGGAGGGAGGGAGGGAGGAAATTTTTAATTCAAAATTTTAAAGAAGAAATGTTGAAATTGTTTTTGCATGTAATTGGGATAAAATGAAATATTAATTTTTTTTAAAAAAGAAAAAGAAAATAATTCCATACCATGGAGTATAGTGTATAGTGAGCTGGACTTATAGTCAGAGAAGTCCTGGGTCCAAGTCCTTCTTTGATATATACTGGCTACTCGACCCTGGACACATCACTTAACCTTTTAATGCCCTAGGCAACTCTTTCAGACTAAGTTACACCACAGGTGAGCATCTAAGATTTGCACTGGATCAGGGGATTTTCCCATAGGGAGTTCTCTATGCCAGTAAAATCGCAGATCTGGTAGAAAACAAAAATCTTACAAGCATGTTCCAAATCTCTCTTATGTGACAATTTTTCTCTCTGCAGCACCTCAAAAAACCCTGATGGTTCCAGATGAATATTGTCTTTTTTGTTTCTCTTTTTATTTTGTTTTAGAAAAAAATTAAAGATGGGCAGCATTATTTACATTGGATAATCCTGCTACATATTATTTCTGGAGTAGGGGGAAATAATCCTGTTACATACCCAGGTTATTCATTGGGGAGGAAGTATATTCTTCATATAGAAAGTTATATTTATGGAGCTAGGTTATCATTTTCTATGACATTCATCTAATATAGGTGTCCTTAATTTTTGTGTGTCATAGACCCCTTTTGACTATCGAGTTAAACCTATGGACCCCTTCTTTGAACGTTTTTAAACGCATAAAA